AGGAATCCAAAGAGGACCACACCAAGACACATCATCATTAAAATGCCAAGAGCAAAAGACAAAGAGAGAATCTTAAAAGCAGCAAGGGAAAGAAACTCAGTTACCTACAAGGGAGTACCCATACGACTGTCAGCTGATTTCTCAACAGAAACTTTGCAGGCCAGAAGGGAGTGGCAAGAAACATTCAAAGTGATGAATACCAAGAACCTACAACCAAGATTACTTTATCCAGCAAAGCTATCATTCAGAATTAAAGGTCAGATAAAGAGCTTCACAGATACGGAAAAGCTAAAGGATTTCATCACCACCAAAACAGGATTATATGAAATGCTGAAAGGTATCCTTTAAGAAGAGGAAGAGGAAGAAAAAGGTAAAGATACAAATTATGAACAACAAATACGCATCTATCAACAAGTGAATCTAAGAAGCAAGTGAATAAATCATCTGATGAACAGAATGAACTGGTGATTATAATAGAATCAGGGATATAGAAAGGGAATGGACTGACTATTCTTGGGGGGGAAAGGGGTGTGGGAGATTCGGGAAGAGACTGGACAAAAATCATGCACCTATGGATGAGGACAGTGGGTGGGGAGTGAGGGTGGGAACTAGGAGGAGAGGAGTTATGGGGGGGAAAAAGAGGAACAAATGTAATAATCTGAACAATAAAGATTTAATTTAAAAAAAATACTTTTACGTACTAACCAAAAACTGGAAAATGTAGATTCCACTTATAATAGCTTTAAAACTATAAAAGAGCAAAAAAGTTATATTTTAAAAAAATGTGAGACCCTTACCTAGATAACACTGATGACAGAAACTAAAGAAAAACCTCAGTAACTGGGGAGCTATACCATGTCCATGGACTCGAAGAGTCAATATTGTTAAAACAAAAATTCTCCCACAGTTGACCTATAGATTTAAAGCAATCTCAATCATAATGCCAACTAGATTTTTGTTGGAGATGGTGGTTTTTGAAATTGACTAGCCGATGCTACGATTTATAGGGAAATGCCGAGGACCTGGAGTATTCAGAGCAATCTTAAGACAGAAGGACTTCCATATCTGAGTCCAAGACTTGCTCTGAGGTACAGCCGTCCAGGCTGCCCAGGACCTGCTAAAGTACAAGCAGCAGGAGGCCATTTGGTGTCACAAAGACACCAAAGCAATTGAATATCCACATTGGGGGGGGAGGGGGCACGGCTCTACCACAGATAAACATTCAAGATGGATCAGAAACCGAAATATAAAAGCCAAAATGATGAAGTTTTTAGAAGAATAGGAAGTCACAGTCAGAGAGAAAATTATTTGTGAAACACACAGCTGACCAAGGACTGGTGTGCAGGCATTGGGATCCTTAGAGCTCACTGATCAAAAGGCAAAGAGCCCCAGGAAACACTCGAGGGAAGAGGATGCACAAACGGACAGCTCAGACATGAAGAGGCTGGTTATGGCAATGAACGTGAATCCCACTATGAGCTACCACTTTGTGCTGAGCAGACGGCCACCACCACATGCCGGCAAAGCCATGCCACAGCCAGAGCTCCCAATGTCGTTGGTAGAAGTGTAAATGCACAACCACTTTAGAGAAACATCTGGTAGTTGCTTGTAAAACTAAACATACAACTACCCTATGACCCAGCGTTCCATTCCCAAGTATTTACCCAAGAGAAATGAAAACATATGTCCACAAAAAGACTTGTAAAGAATGTTCATAGCAGCCTTAGTCATAGCAGCTAAGAGAGAAAAAAGACCAGGTGTCCATCAACAGGAAAGTGGGCACTGAATACTATGTCCATATAAAGAAACGCTTCTCAGCAACAGACCAGCATGGACCACAGCCACATGCAGCACGATGAATTTTAAAAACACAGAAAGAGCACATCCCACATGACCCCACTCACAGGAAGTCCAGAGCAGCGGACCTAAACTGCGACCCAGAAAGAGCCACAGGGGTCACCCCGGGGCAGTCATGGGATTTCTGGGTGGGGAGGTTCTGAAGTGGAAGAGATTATGGCTGCACAGGTGTGTACAATTGTCATAAATCTCTCAATGGCACACTTAAGATCTGCATTTAATTGCATGTAAATTTTCTCTAAAAATAAAAAGAACCATAAACAAATACTGAATTCTAGCCAAATTATTTGGGAGAAAGTGTACGGATGTCTGCACTTACTTAGGAATGCAAAGATAAAACATGGGTTGGAAGATGGATAGGCAGACATGAATGAACAGAAGAACGGACGTGTGACAGAGAGTTTAAAAATTACAGCACATACAACTGCGTACAGTACATAATACTTGATCATTATAATAAACAACTGTTACTGGTTTATGTATTGACTACATTATTTTATTGTTTTGTTTTTAATCCTCACCCAAGAATATTTTTCCATTGATTTTCAGAGAAAGTGGAAGAGAGAGAGAAAGACAGAGAGAAATATCGATGTAAGAGAAACACATCGATTGGTTGCCTCCTGCATGTACCCCGACCAGGGCCCAGGCCCGGCAGGTGCCTGTAACCGACATACGTGCCCTTGACCGGAATCAAACCCAGGACCCTTTGGTCTGCAGGCCAACACTCTATCCACTGAGCCAAACTAGCTAGGGCTACTACATTACTTTAGAGTATCCTCTTTCTACTTCAAAAAAGTGTTATTCAGTGATAAGAGTATCAGCACAGGCACCAGAGGGTCTCGGGTTCAATTTCTGGTCAAGGAAACATATACTGGTTGCAGGTTCGATCCCCGGCCCCAGGCCCAGTGCGTGCAGGAGGCAACCAATCAATGTGTCTCTCTCATATTCATGTTTCTCTCTCTCTCCCTCTCTCCCACTCTCTCTAAAACAAGATCAATGGGAAAAATTTTCTTGGGTGATGATTAACAACAAGTTTCCTGTAAAACAGGAGCTGTGTCACACTGCAGCAGCCTCATACATGAGGTGTTTACCTCATCTCTGACTGCGTCATTTCTCCTGTGCTTGATTTAACCGTTTTGTACAGTAATCTCCTATACAGGCTTGCAGCCCAGGAGCAAGAGGCTGTACCATACAGCCTAGTATAGGCTGTGCCATTCACGTGTGTATAACTGCCCCTGTGATGTTCTCCCTAATGAGGTCTTTCTCTGACCTCCCCCATCAAGTGGCATGTGACTGCATTTTCAATCAAGGTTGGTTGAATCAAAGGATGGATACAGAAAGTCAGCAGAATCACACTAAAAACAGTCAGGAAAAAAATTACAAACAATCTTCACAAGGAAATATTTAGAAAAACATTAGCAAAAAATCAGCATCATGAAAAATAACTACTGTATTTTCCAAAACAAAAGTAGTGGGAAGAGTGGCATTCAACCTGTCACAAGACGTTTAGCCAGCAATGCATGAAGGAAATCCACCGTTAGAGACAGGAACTTGGAGAGAAAGGCCCTGCTGACCCCAGAAGACTCGGGACCCAGGAGTCCTGGGATCACGCAGAATGCCCCGCCCAGATGCCCTGTGCGGGTGCGTGCCTGGAGGCCTGAAAGGACACTCGCCAAAGGGACATGACTTCATCTACCACTTTAGACAGTTCTGTGTCCTAAAGGACTCACGACCAGCATGTGTCCTTCTGTAATTACAAATTCATCACAGAACTAAAAGCAATCATTTTTAGATGCAAGAAGCTGGGTGCAGCACCTTCGTGAGACCATTTTCTTAGGGAGAAGTAAGCCAAGGCTTTGCAGAAACTCATACAGAGCCACCTCCGGGGGCCATCTGCCTGTCACATCACAGGCCATCGCAGGCATGCTGCCGAGGCCCCAGTCCCCCCATCCACCAGCCATGGTGGGGCTTTGAAAGGGGTTCCAAGCCAGCCCTTGAGCATGCGTCCCAACCCCAGTCCTCGAAAGGTGCAGAGGACGAGGAATCCTGTGCCCTCCTGGCTATGAGTGAGCCATGTCACCGCCAGGAGACAAGGGACGCACTTACTCTGCAGCCACCGCTCACGCCTCAGCTTCAGTTTCTCCTTCTTGGGCAAAATCGTCTTCGCCTCGGCACCTGAGGACAGAGCACACGTGCAGTGAGTGGAGCGTCTCGTTCCCGCAGGACAAAGTCTAAAGTTCCCCACCCACAAAGCCTGGGAACAGAACTGGGCAGGTTCTGACGGTGCCAGGCAGCACTGCCGCCCCATGGGCCACCGTGCCCACAGCAGCCGGGCTGCACCTGGGGGTGAGGCCAGCCCCAGCCTCTCACAACCCCCAGGGAAAGATGGAGCAGCGGCCCTGCAGTGCTGGGGACACGACACTGCACATCAGCACAATGTCAGGAGGGTGCCCTAGGCACACGGTCCCTCTGAGGCAACAGCCTGGCACTTACCACGGGGCTGCCCCAAGATGCCAGGCAGGCCTTCACCTACCATCCTCGCCACCCCAAACCCAGGATGCCCTTCAGGAGGGCTGCTGCGTAAGCATGCTGACAAGAGAGGCCACGCAACTCAAGGAGGAGCCACAAGCTGTCGAGAACGGGTGAGCACCTCAGAGCACCAAGGCTCCCCTTCTGCCAAGCCCGGGACCTGAGCACACTGGGCTAGGCCCACAGTCCCCGACTGCTTGGAATTCCTCTGCACAGGTGCTGCCGGAAGCCAAGAGGATGCAGGTGAGCCCAGTCTGAGCAAGTGGTGGTCCCACCTCTTGTCACTGAAATCAACCGGGATAATAAAACCCACTCCCTTCAGACGTGCCTTCTCCCAGAGCCCTCTGTCCACCCTCGCCTGCCACGTGGGGATGTCCCCAGCCTCACCTCCAGCATGTGTGAGGTACAACACACACCTTCTCCTTTGTTCCCAGCTCTGTCGTTAAACACTGGCCACCTAGCTGACCCTCCCACTGCCCACCCTACTCCTCTCAGCTCCTGTCCCATCCCCCAGCGCTGTCTGCTCTGACTTTGTGGTGATTTCAACTGCCCAGGTCTGGGGCCTCCCCTTCCTTCATGACCCCCTCCTCACCACCATGGCCTGTCTGCACATCTGTACTGTTACAGGCTAAACTGTGTTCCCCAAATTCACATGTGGAAGACCTCATCGCAGTACCCCAGAACATGGCAGTATTGGGGGAGAGGGTCTTTAGTGAGGTCCTTAAGTTGAAATGAGGTCACATGGGTGGGCTCTAATCCAGTAAGACTAGTGTCCCTATCACAAGAGGCGATTAGAACACAGCCATGCACAGAGCGATGACCATGTGAGGACACAGGGAGGAGGCGGCTGTCTACACACCAGAGAGAGGCCTCAGGAGGAGCCAGCCCTCCTGTTGGAGCCACCTGGGCTATGGTGCTTTGTTATGGTCACCTGAGCTAAGACACCCATCTTCTCTTGAATAACTCGGAGCATCATGCTCCCCGCATTCAGGCAGGCCCGAGCTTCCCCTCCCCTCCCCTCCCTGTAAGCAGCCACCTGTGACCCTCATCGGCCCGCTCCCCATGAGGAAATGCAGCAATCAGTTGCCCGGCGCCAAGGCCCCGTCACACGCACTAGCATACGACATTGCTAACTACCTGGAGGAACCTGATGACCGTTAGGAGCACTGGGCACATTGTGCCAGTGACCCCGTGACTAGTCCCATTTTACAGTTGAGAAAAACAAAGCTTAGAGGGGGCCAGGCCACGGGGAACTGCTGTGGCTCAGGCCTGGAACAGAGTGTGAGGTGGGCCCACAGCCACGAGGCCTCCGCGGCACCCTGTCCTTGGCTGGGCCCGCTGAAGCACCCCTGGGACTCCTGGCAGGCAGGGGGTGGGGAGCGAGATACAGAGTCCTTTTCCCCAACAGGCACATTCGGGGTGGGAGGCCCACTAACATGCAGTATGGTGCCCGCTGCACCGGGTGCAGGCCACTGCCCCATGCTGGCCAGACCTGAGTCCCAGCTGAACAAAGACAGTGTGTCTGAAGCCGTGGGGCCTCAAGAAAGCTCGGTAGTGCCAGCTGGCATGTCAGGTGGCACTGGATTGGTCTGCCTCGCTGGTCCCCAGACTGCCATCTCCTCCCTGGCAGGCAGGGGGTGGGGAGCGAGATACAGACCCTTTTCCCCAACAGGCACATTCGGAGTGGGAGGCCCACCAACACGCAGTATGGTGCCCGCTGCACTGGGTGCGAGCCACTGCCCCATGCTGGCCAGACCTGAGTCCCAGCTGAACAAAGACAGTCAGTGTGTCTGAAGCCGTGGGGCCTCAAGAAAGCTTGGTAGTGCCAGCTGGCATGTCAGGTGGCACTGGATTCCGTTTGGACAGGCTAGAGCACCCAGACAGAGCCCCCCTCCCCCACCCCACCCGCGGGAATGTGCGCTAGGGGGAGCGGACGGTGCCAGGCTGGCAGGTGCGCCACTCTTGGAGCACAAAGACGATGCAGTCCGATGGCTGTCTGCCTGACTATGGCACGAAGGCACGCACATGGGAGGGCGGTAGGTCAGAGATGCTGGACCTACTGACAGCTTCTCTGCTTCCAGCTCTAAAAATGGAGCAAACTCCAGGCTGCTGCACTTCCTTGGCCTTAACTGGGTCCCCAGAGATAAGGTGGCGTAAGCCCAGGACGTTCTATATGCGATGCACGTCCTGACATCTTTACTTCCCGCAGATGTTCTTGGCTGTTACAACAGATCCATGACATCTAAGAAAAAACAACGAACGAACAAGTTCTGTCGAGAGCCAGGTGGAGATCCTGCTCATGAATAAGCCTGGGGCACATGACTTCATGGGAATGACAGCCCTTTTCCAGGAACGAGGCGCTACGTGTCAGGCCCCATGTTACCTTTTGGACACACCCCAAGTCGATACTGGTCACGGGGGAGAGGGACAGGGGAGGGGGATGAGGCATCCGAATGACCAAGTGAGAGTGACTCCACACTCTGGGCAGGTCATCCCAGCCTGAGGGCTCACTGAACCTGG